CACAACTTCATTTGAGTTCCTTAATCCACTTTGAGTTCAACCAATAAGGCTTTCAGCCACATCATCTTAGCAACTCATAATGCCATGTCCATGTATTATGCCTTTGCTGTTGATCTTGCTACAAATGACTGTTTCTTGCTCTTTCACGAGACCAAATTGCCACCTACAAATATGTAGTATCCTGATGTGGATCGTCTATCAGTAGCACAACTTGCCCAGCCAGAATCACAAATACCCTCAATATTTGCATGCCCATTCTCCCCGAATATCAACCCTTTCCTTGTGCACTCTTCATATACCTCAAAATCTGATACACTACAACCATATGACCCTTCCTTGGATCATGCATGTGGCGGCTCACCACACTTAATGCAAAATATCGGGTTGAGTGTGGCGTAGATAGATCAGACAGCCAACCAATCTTTGGTATCGCTCACAATCAATCGATTCACCTGCCTTGTATTGAGCTTAACCTTATGTTTAATTGGAGAGATTGCAGGTTTGCACCCCGCATACCTGTCTTCGTAAGAAGATCCAGCACATACTTTCTCTGGAATATGACCATTCCCTCAGTCCACGGGCCACTTCAATCCCAAGAAAATATTTGAGCTGTCCTGGATTCTTTACCTCAAATTGCTTCCCCAATCTTCCATTAAGTTGAGCAATCTCTGCTTTATCATCACCAGTGATTTCATCTACATACACAACAAGTATGGTAGTGTGATCTTCATGTTGTCGAAAGAACACCGTGTGGTCTGCATTGATTTGCTGATATCCAATGCCAACCATCGCTATTCTAAACCTAACCAGGTTCGAGTAGACTGCTTCAAGCCATATAGTGACTTTTTGAGCTTACACACCTTGCCTACTGTCTTGGACGTACTGAATCCTAGTGGTATATCCATATATACCTTCTATAGTAGCTTCCAATGCAGAAAAATATTCTTCACATCGAGTATGTGGAGTCTCCATTCACCATTCACTGCCAGAGCTAGTGTCCTCATTGTGCTTATCTTTGCGAGTGGTGTAAATGTTTCATTTTAGTCAATGCCATATGTCTGACTGTTTCCCTTTTGACACTAGTCGTGCTTTGTATCTCTCCATCTTCTCGTTCTGGAGTTTGCTTTACCGTGAAGATCTACTTGCATTCAACCGTCTTCTTCCTTGCTGGTAGTGGTACGATCTTCCATGTTCGGTTTTTATTAAGAGCTCCAAGTTCTTCATGCATAGTCGCTTTTCACTTGGAATCTTTTTTAGCAACCTACCAACACTGGTTATAGAGACAGAGTCCAATGATGCATGAATGTTTCATGCAAAGGTGATCTATTAGAATAAGAAATAAAGTTTACAATATCAAGTTCTCACCTAAAACGATTAAAAGGATATCCCGCATTGCTGCGATTGGTCTTACTTAACATTAGGGGGTTAGGAGTGGATAGAGGAGGAATAATATCATCTAGGAGTTTTTAATCAAAGATGAATGGTGTAGGCGTAGGTGTCTCTAGAGTTGGGGAATGTCGAGACAAGGGACTTATTAGCACTTTGGACTCTATTTCCTTAGTTTTCTTCTTGTTCCCGTGTATACACCCTTGATTCACCTTCAGCATGAATCTCATCATCTCTGTAGTCAATCTTCTTGATTTTTGTCTCCTCAATTTATTCATCCCACATCACAGGACATGACATTACTCCCACTTGCATCACTCCATCACCACTACTACTCACTCTCTCTTGTCTCATATCTCTAGTGTCCGTTGAGTCACCGATGGGTGAATTCACTTTCAAAGTATAGTATGGTTCAAACTCTCTGAATGACATATCCATATTCACAAAGAGTCTCTTTTCAAGCATATATAACCTTTCTGAGTCGCCGAATACATGAACACACATTTCACAACTCTTGGATCTCCCTACAAATGACCTGTTGTCCTTCACAAATCATACGCATCCAAATACCTTCAATGGATGGATCTCACTATTGTCTCCTTTCAACATCTGACAAAGAGACTTCTACTCTGACACTCTTGAGGGCTTCCTGTTAAACAATTGAGCGGCTGCCAACATTGTTTGCCCCCAAAAGTTATATGAGAATAATTGTTATCATCATGCTCCGGGCTACCTCTAGAAGATGCTGATTCTTCCTCTCTGCTACTCTATTTTGTGCTGGTGTGTATGGGCATGCAGTTTGGTGTTATATCCCTTGAGCTGTCAAGCGGTCCCTAAATGCTTTGTTAATATATTTTGTCCCGTTCAGTGCTTTCACAACTACACCATATTAGGTTTGGATTGCCTTGTAAAAATCTTTAAAGCAAATAACCACCACACTTCTTTGTTTCATCAAGTATATCCAGGTAACATAAGAAAATCAATCAATAAACGTAACAAAATACCAATAACCATTCATAGAACTAGTATAACAAAGTCCCTATACATCATAATGTTTCAAATCAAACACACCAGTGCTCCTATTCTCAGAACTGATATAAGAGCTCTTAGTGAGTTTGCCAAACTTACAAGCATCACACATTAGTTTCTCCTTATTTGTCTTTTCATAAATAGATGGATACAACCAACTTAGTAAATTAAAACTAGAATGCTCCATACGCCTGCAATGTAGAAGTAACACATCCTTGACGTTCCTCGTAAATTCTTCTATTGTAGCACTTTCCACCATGGATGCCAGAGCTTAGTCCATTCTCTTTCGGTCTAAGTATCAGAGTCTGTTATGCCATGTTCCAGTCCCAAGTGTTTGGCCTGTCCCTTTCTTTTGGAAGATCACCTGAGGAATATCAAAAGAAACAATACGTTTTTAATTGGAGAATAATGACACTAATGGATAAGAGATTTATTGGAAAAGAAGAAACGTACAAGACATTGAACAAAGTCATATGATTGATACATCTTGCTGTACTCTTACCAACTACAAACTGCGCAGTACCGACAACAGTCTGTATACTTTTTGGTACTGCTAGATGAGCTTATGAAGAGAACTCTCCAGTAATATCTGTCATGTGACAAGAAGTACTAGAATCTATAATTCATTCTGGTGATTCTATGGTGAAAATAGAGGCAAGAACAAGTGTGTCACCAGTACCTTTTCTGAAGTGAGCGTAAGTAGCAATAGTACCCCTTGATGTCGATGGATTTGAAACGTCTCAACTTCATCTCATGTTGCTTTCTTTTTCAATACCTCTAGGCACTTATGATCCTCACTAGTAAAGATTGCACCTATCTCTCTCTTGTCTTCTGCTACTATCAGATTTTCCCTGTAGCCCCCTCTTCCACCTTTCCAACCCCCACGAACTCCACCCTATCCGCGCCCACCTATCTCTCTCTCCTTGAGCGGCTTAGGATAGACCCTGCTCAGATGGACAACTTCACCACAGTTGTAACACTTGCTAGTCGCCCCCTAGACACCTACCTACCTGGGCTAGCAACAGCCAATGATGATCGTGCATTCGAAAAACCACTCGGCGCAGAGTGTAGCTTCATGCGACTCTTTTCTTGTATCATCGCAGCAATAGCCTCATCAAGTATATGAATAGTCACATGAGCTAGGAGAATCAATCTCCTCTAATCAAATACCAAGTTTAGATGAGCCATTGCATAGTCATTTGTGTAAAAATCTCTCCCTTCTTTCACAACATATCACCATGACTTGACATAAGTGTGTATTGATCAAGATCTTGCCACAACCACTCCTAGTCTATAAAGTACTCATGAATTAATCTATCACCCTGAACTACTGCCTCTATCTCATGCTGAATCTAAAACACCTTCATGTGGTTCTCCATTCTAGTAAAGATCTTCTCCAGCTTCACCCAAATGTCGCTCATCTTTCAAATGTCTTCCACTGATGAGGAAATTGATGGAACCATTGAGTTGACTAACCAGGTGTAAAGTAAGACATGTGTGATCCTCCACTCATCCTTCTCAGTACTGTCACTCTTTGGCTCATCTACTATCAGGTATCTTTGTAGTCTCTTCCCTACTATAGCAGCATCGATACGACACAACAAACTCAGATATGTGGTCGATCAATCGAGTTTCATATCCACAAGAGGGAGATCTAGCTTCACCTGTGTCGCGTCGAAGCAATACCAGGGTCGTGGCTCTCGTCGAGATGCGAGTTCCTTGTATGAGCCTGACAAAGACCTTTAGAACTTTGGGATTCATCTTCCCCATAATTTTCAATTCCTTACTTCCAGCACTATCTCCATCTCCCGATATTTTTAATCACAAGGATCAAGTCTAGATCACACGCGACTTCCTTCATGCAAGTTCGTGTGATCTGCTTTGCCTTAGCTCGCATGAAGCCGCACTCCCTCTGTCTGAGCCGTCTTTAAAGCCTCTGCTAGTAACAAGCAAAAAAAAAAACGAGTTTAGGTCTCTTCAAGTCGATCTGGGTCTGTATACGCCGATCCTAACTAGATTGTGCGATTCGCTACTACTTCTCGAGGAACACCATTGAAGGAAGAGGGAAATAGGAGTTTCACGTCTCTCTGCGCCAATCTCTACTAGTTCGATCGACGAGAGGTGGAAGTTTCAGGTCTCCCTACGCTGATCCCGACTAATCGATTGAGGAGAGGCGGCTAGGGCTCTGATACCAAATATAACTTATTGATAAAAAAATCACCTTTATTTCATTGATGACGGGCTTATATAGAACCTTACAAGTTGCAACATTTACAAATAAATTTCTAGACTTCATCATTTATGAATAGGACTCTACATTAGAAACATATCTCAACAAATTTTCCTCAATTGTTATTTGCATCTTAGAGCTGTTTGTTCTTCATTGTTTGTTTCAGATGTTCTTTCAATGCAGGTTAACCGTGTGCGGTCTACATTAGAAACATATCTCAACAAATTTTCCTCAAATGTTATTTGCATCATTAGAGCTGTTTGTTCTTCATTGTTTGTTTCAGAGGTTCTTTCAATGCAGGTTAACCGTGTGCGGCATTCGTCACCTTACGATATTCTTTTGTTTTGCTTTTTAGGCCAACATGCTAGAGGGTGGAGGAAAAACACCAATATTGAGCCCAACTGAACTCCAGGATATAGGATATAAGCTTGTGGTGTATCCGCTGTCCTTGCTTGGGGTATCAATCCGGGCCATGGAGGTGTGTTCTTTTACATCAAATATGTGTGATGTATATGTTGCTTTGACATAAACTAACTTTCAAATTCTTTGTTGTGGTTGTGCTATTAGTCTTCTATTTAATCATTGATTTTCTAATGTAAAAGAAGGAAAAGTGCATATTCTAGTTAATTTATAGTTTTGGATTTCGTTCTTGTTTTTTATTTAAAATATCTTGTAGAATTCCTTGAAGCACTTTCAGGTTCCTGAGCAACTAAACTTGATACAAAATATGACACATTAATCTATTAAGCTGAGCTGTTTGGGATCTTTTCTATCTTTCGGTTTTTTTTTTTCAATTTCTTTTATTTATGCTTTAATATGAAAAGAAAATATGTTTTTTTTTTTTATAATTTTTTTTGTGTTCGACAAAATTAGTTAAGATAAACTTTCATTGTATTATCCAATTGTACGACCCATTCTCTCCAAACAATAGTTCTGCACTATTTTGCACTGAAACATCATGCAAATCCCATGGAAAACTTAAATCCCGATATTTTCTGTTCCATGGTAGATTAATTCCTTTAATAAATTATAACAGTTAAATGGGGAAACTGGCATCTCAAAACTCAGCAATGAGGGACGCAATGGCAATGTTCTAAGGCATTGGAAGCGAAGTGGGAAGATGCTGGTGAGGGGTGTGGGATAGGGCACAAATGATTACCGAGTTAGGGTTAGTATCTTGGAGAAGGGGAGAGAGAAAAAGAGGAGATGATTCCGACGTTTTGCTGATTATGTTGACCGGGCAGGCTAAGGCAGCATTAATGCGGGAGTTGTTTTGTGGCTGAGTTGGGACGTGTAGTGAGTTGGGACGTGTAGCAAAAATTGAGAAAGAAAAATTTTTTGGAAGAAAAAAATGATCACCTAAATCTTGTCTTCATTGCTTTAAAGAACAATTCAAATAAAAATAGAAATGGTTTAACAAAGATATTTTATCAACAACATATTTTGTCCAAAAGAAAGAAAAAAAAAATGAAAAAACTGTGCGTAATGTGGTTGAACATCATCACATAACAAAATTAGTGCATTCAATGGTTACCATTTTGGAGGCCAATCCCCTCAATTGTTGAATGAGAAAAACACAGTCTTCAGACTTGGATCAAGATTCTCTTAGTGCTTTTTGTAATAGATTCCATTGAATGGAGTGAACCTGAAAATTTCAAGTTAATCTTGTTTTTTTTTGTTTTATAACTTGTGGCGTAGAAGTATAAGAATGCCTAAAGGCACCATATATCGATGTTATACATGGACTGTTTCAGTGATGCTCAAACAGAGGTCGGACACAAGGAAAAAAAAAAAAACTTAAAAGATTTTTTTAAACATAAATTGTATTATATTCCCACAAATTTTGGGTAGGCAATTCAAGGAATAGTTTTTTAGTAACCCTATTAATTTTTTTGATTCAAATATGTTTTAAACAGTACAACATCTTAGTTAAGAAGCAAATAAAGGAAGTTTGAAAATAGGGAACCTAATATCAAATTTTGAGATCTATTTTTTATACACTTGAGAAACTTAGATTAAAGCAATTATGTTATATAGATACAAATGTCAGATAAGTTTCATGATTTGTTTGAAATTTGAAACTCATTGGATAAACATTTTGAATGTAATCAACACAAAAGTAAAATCAATTTCCTTTATCTTTTCAATGCTTGGCTTAAAAGTAATTTGATTTAACTCAAAATATACTTGATGTATTTCTTCAACCTGATGCCACTTAAGGTGCAGTTAGGATGACTACTATTTTTTGAAGAGACATCTTCACAGGTGCTGTTAGAAAGTTGCTGCTGGAATAGCAGGGAGATTGTTTAGATAATTTACTATGCTACACTTGTTTTTGATGAAAAAAGAATTATGACCTTATAGATGTAAATGAATTTAGTGACTGCAATTTTTAAAACAATTGAAGTAGAATAACAAAAATAACTCTAACAATATAAAAAACACGTTAGGAGTCCAAATTTTTCCAATACATCAATTGTATATCATTATTTTATTCATTATTTTACAATTAGGGCTGTCAAAAAACTCGTTGTTCGCGAACAGTTCGTGTTCAGTTCGTCAATGAGTTCGTGTTCGATTCGTTCGATAAGTAAAAAAGAAGAACGTGAACAAATTTTGTTGAACAATTTATTCCTTCCTCTATTCAAGGTCTAAACCAGAACTTCAAAATTATTTTGTATTAGGCATGACCAACAATTGATAAAATTGCAACTCAATAAATATGAGAATATACAAAATTTTTTAAATAGTTTCCATTTATTGAATTTTTTTCTCTCCACCACTCCTTTAATACTTTAACTATTTCTTTAATAAGGTCACAACCTAATTTAGCTGCCCCTCTTTTTAAGTCCTTCCACAATTTTCTTGAAGTGCATGGTTGGTCCATTTTCAATTTCGATCTCTCTGAAGCATAAATTACAAAATATAATCTTCACCTTCCTCTCCTAAATGACCAATATACCATCTTCATTTTGTTGTCTCTTCTGATGTATCTTGCATATAAAAATTTTGAGGAAATTTTATAATTTATCTTACAATAAAAAATTTAATTACAAAAATTGAAACAAAATTAAAAAAACTGATCGAATTAGAGCCCTGTGATATCAATTTATCAAAAATTGCTCCATTCAAAATCATCAACTATATCGTACAGGCTTCAAGACCAAATAGTATATGTGGTTAATAATGCAATGTGTTCTTTAAGACCAGGTAATATTTGTGGTTAACAATGTCATGTGTGATTTAACACCAGGTAATATCTGCGGTTAATAGTATTGGATGATGGCTCGGGGTAATATTAAAAATGCTTTTGACCTTATCAATGAAATGTTTGAATCTATTGATGTAGTTGGAATAAAGATTGATGCAGGTCTTTAGCACCGCAGACGTGGCCATCATAGTCATAAATATATGAAATCTCTACTTTCTAAGAATAAGCTTCATGGTATAAAGCCTATAGAGTTAGATTTTTATGAATATTGTATCCATGACAAGTAAAAAACGATTTATTTCTCCAAAAATGGGTCTAATGTGAAGTCCAAAAAGCTAGAGTTATTGTATAATGATGTATGAGATTCTACTGCAGTTCAGTCCATTGGAGGTTCCCAATATTTTGTAATTTTCATTGATGATCACACAATAACAGTATGGGTGTACTTCTCGAAACAATATTTGATGTATTTGAGGTGATTGAGGAGTGAAAGCATGGCTTTGCGATTGAAGAAAAACTTTTATGGTTTGAAGCAGACTCTAATGCAGTGTTATATAAATTTTGACTTGTTTATGTCTGACAATAAGTACATGAAGTGCCATGCAGATTATCGTTGCTTCATTAAAATTTTTATAATTGTTATATTGTACTTCTATTGTATGTGAATAACATATTGGTTGCAAGAGCAGATATGTAGAAGATTTAGGACTTGAAAGAGCAATTATCAAGGGAATTTGAGATTATGATTTATGTCTAACTAAGAAGATTCTCAGATTGAGAATCAACAAGGACACGATTGCTTGTATATTGAAATTATCTCAGGCAGAATAGTTGAGAAGGACTTACACAGGTTCAACATTAGTGAGGCAAAACCAATTTGCACCCTCTTAGGTAGTCACTTTAATTTATTTAAAGAATTATCGCTTAAGTCTGAAACAAAGCAAACAAAGATAGAAAGTGTATTTCATTTCATCTACCGGAAGAAGAATCGAAACATCGAACATATATAGAAGAGGAAACGATGAATCGGGGAAGAGAGAGGAAATGAACCAAGGTATACCAGGTCTTTTTAAATTATTCTTAGCTGGAGAGATAGGTTTTTCTACATTCTTAGGAACATTTTCTTCATGTTTTCAATTTCTTTATTATCCCTCTCAACTTCAATTTCTTTTTGAATTCCAACATTTAATTCTCTTTCACTCCTGAGTTGGACAACTTTAACTTGCTATTGCTCTTTATTCTTATCTTTAGGATTTATTTCAACATTACTAGGAAGTGTTCCTTGAGTCTTATTGCTAAGTGCGTTAGCAATTTGTCCTAGTTGATTCTCAATATTTCTTATTGCAGCGCTTTATCTTTGTAATTGATTCCCCATCTGTAACACCACTTTTTTTACATACAACCTCTTCTCCTTTATTGGTTGGTTTGTAAATTCAGAAGGGTGAGAAAGTCTATAGTTAATACTACCTTGGTTGTTCCAGTTTTCTAATGGGTTTGCTTGATTGTTTCCCCATTTCTGATTTCCGTCACCATAATTATTATTCCAATTAAAGTTAGGGTGGTTTTTCCAACCTGGGTTGTAATAGTTTGAATATGGGTTATCGGGTCTATTGTTAATTGCATTTAAAGTCTCTAATGATGGTTGAGAATCAATTATATGTCTTAATGAATTCTCTTCAATCGCATGAGATGTTTAAGAAAATTTCATTTCAATTTGATCTATCTTTCTAGATATTGCAGCAACTTGAAATGTCAATATGAAAATTTGCATCATTATCATCTACACTGACTACTTTCTTAGAATTTATTCTTTCAGAGGACCATTAAAAATTGTTTGTGGCCATCTCTTCAATCAATGCATAAGCTTCGTCAAATGGTTTTAATATTAATGAACCTCCAACAACTTCAACAATAAATCTAAAGGATCCTACTAACCGATTATAAAATGTTTAAATAATTAACCAGTCTGGCAAGACATGATACAGACACTTTCTAAGGAGTTCTTTAAATTGTTCACAAGTTTCGTATATTGACTCGCCTTCATACTGAGTAAAAGAGGTAATATCATTTCTAATGCTTAGCAGTTTTTGAATGTGGAAAATACTTAGCCAAGAATTTTTATGCTAACTCCCCCCAAGTTCTAATAAATTCAGGTGCTAAAGAGTTTAACCACACATCTTAGCTTTATCTCTTAAGGAAAAAGAAAAAAATTTAAGTCTAACAACGTCGTTAGATACATCATCATATTTAAATATAACACAAATTTTTAGAAAATTTGCTAGGTATAAGTTTGGGTCCTCAGATGGTGTTCCCCCAAACTGATCGTTTTGCACCATCGTCCTCAGATGGTGTTCCCCCAAACTGATCGTTTTGTACCATCTGTATAATAGCAGGTTTAAGTTCAAATGAATTAGCCCCTACAGCAGGGGTTTGTATACTTAATGAATTTCATATGCTGTATGGTTTGCATAGTCCCTTAAAGTTCTTTGTATATTATGATGTTCATTTTCAACAATTTGATTTTTAAAATTATTTTGTAATGTTTGTCATTTTTAAGGAATTGTGAAGTTCTTTTTGTTTTTGAATTTTTCTTATGGTTCTTTCTAACTCAGAATCGTAAGACACTAAACCTTCAGATCCCGAACTACGCATGCAAAATTAAAAATTCCAAAAATAAAACTAAAACAAAACACTCAAAATAAAAAAAAAATATATTTTTTTAAATTTTTTTCGATTTTCAATTTTTTTTCTTTTTTTAAATAATTTTTAAGAAATAAAAAATTACTGATAAAGAGAAACTAAAATACAATTCTTCTAAAAAAATCTACAGTCAAATAAAAATTTCTAAGTTAAAAATTCTTTTATTTCCCGACAACGGCGGCAAAAACTTGGCTCGACCCGCAATTACACAATTATTTAAGTTCTGAAAGATGAGAAAAAACTTGACCCAATTTATATTCAGCAGTTAGTGTGCAAAATAAATATGTTAAAAATTAACTAATGACTTACACACTAGGGACACTACACAAGTATACATATCGTTTCAAGTAATATAAAATTTTCGTTAAAAATCCTAGTATCGAACTCACAGTGAATAATGAAATTTTTATATGTTGACTTAGAAATAATTCTACCCAAACTGTAAAAAAAATTCGTAGGAGAAAAATATCAAATTTTTTGTAAGATGGTGTAAACTAAAGTTTGCTACTTCTACATGCAAAGCTAAAAGTAGATGCATAGTTTCTTAAACTACAGATGTGTAAAGAAGTACAATTATAATAAAAATTCTTTCATCTTGGAAAGAGATTGTAATTAGTGTAGGAATCAAATGCTTAAAGATAAAACTGAGGTTTTGGGACAAATATGAGCACACCTATTCTTTACCCTCTCCCGAGTGAATAAGAATATTGGCTAATCTAAAGTTAAGTTCTTGCTTGATATGATTGTGCTGAGTAGATTCTATTCTCTCATTTCCAGGTAACCCTTACCCACTGTGCCCTCTCGATTTGGCCAACTAGGTCTCAGGTTCCGAACTAAAAACCAAATTGAAAAAAGTTTCAGCCTGTCACTCTAGAATCATCAATTATACTTCAATCAAAACTTATCTTCCTATTCATTTGCACTCCACCCCCCCCCACCCTTGGGCGTGACATCTCGTCCATCCAAGGTTTAGTATGGTACTCACTAGTTAGGTGAAACCATAGTTCTCCAGGGTCATTATTTTTCACAATGGATTTTAACATCACAAATGATCAATTTGCAAAGTAAATTAAGAACCAATGAAAATACCATCACAAAGTTTTGGAATAAAAGAAATTTTAAAAATATTTGAACCTCACACATGATTACTTCTTATTGCAATGAGAAAGAAAAGAAAACTATTCAGAATTTATGGGGATAACAAAACAAAACATGATATATATTAAAAACCAAATTTACAAAACAAAAATTAAATAAAAGTACAAATACTTATCTCAAAATTTTAACCAAACAATTCTCTGAAGTTTCCTGACTGAACTTGACTCCATAAGACTCACACATGACTTAACAAACACTCATAATCACGACAATTCTACTATGGTGGCCGCCTACCCCAATGGTGGTCAAAGCTACCTAAAAATGACTCCAAAAACTCCTCTTCTTCTCTTGGACGTGTAGAAATGCTTCCTATATATAAAGCTTTGAAAATAACCAAGAGTCACTTCAGACACCTTTTCGAAATTCATTCAAATGCATTGAATATATGCATAACCGTCTCTGGCGCCTGAGTGCCCAACCGTGGCGCTTAGGCATCGAGCTTCTAGAACATCCTCGCATCTAGGCGCCAGGTTATTTTTTTGTTCTTTAGCTTCGTTTGAACCATTTTTGCTCCATTTTTGTTCTTTTTGCTCTTAAACTCTATTTTTTGTACCCGAAATATAAAACACACAAAATGTCTTTCATTAAAGCGCAATATCCTTAAAATGAGCATGAAATACACATATAAAAATATATAATTTTAAGGCTCGCCACCTAACACTAAATTTTCAAAATCCGATCTTCCCAGTTTCACCAAAATTCATTTCAACATATACCATCAAAACCCTAAGCTCCTAGACTAATCTTTGATTTGCAGTCTTATATTCACCGAAAATCTAATCAAGAGATAGTGGCATCATATTGCCAAGGAGAAATCCTGAACGAGGTGTCCAGGAAATCACTATGGAGACAACCCGAGGTCACCCATAACCAAAACTGTGACTTTGTTAGATCAAGAGGAGAAAGTGAATTGCTTCCACCATACTGTTTTCAATGATGGACCGACATCCCAAAGATTGGATATGCATATCAGAGGAGAAACCAAAATTTTGGAGTGAAGAATGCGACCTTGTCGTAAAAAAAATTGTGAAGTGTCTACTACGCCAACATGAAGGGAAAAGAAAAATCCCTATCTAGTTCAAATATAAAATGAGAGATGCATCACAAATAACTTCCCCACATTATTGACAAAACATGCTATTGAAACTTCACTACAATAACAAAATCTCTCAATAAAGGAGTGCACAACTTAGTTCGAGCAACCTATGTTGAAATGTGAGCTACTGGAGCTCAAGGAGAACATCATAGCTCGATATTTAGAGAGATTGAGGTCATCTTTTAACAATGTGATATAGTTGCAACCATATTGGATATTACAAGATGTTCGAACCCTAGCCCTGAAGTTAATTAGAGAGACAATATAATAGTATCAGGTCTACATCACCCTTCAAACAGGGTTCAAATATTAGTTTAGGCAATAAGAGTACGCCCAATAGAGCACCCAAGCCAAGCTAGACTCACCTGAATAGAATCCTATCCAGAGTGGAGAGTGGGTAGAGCCCACCAGCATTCCCAATTCATCCTAGCCAAAAAAGATATCCATTATAGGTGAAAGATGATCCAATCATACGGGCCATTATAGTTTGTTATGATAAATTTTATAGAATAGAAGGTGATTTGAAGGCAAAGGACAACGAAAGGATTTGCTTTGTATTTGTTTAAGACAAACGTTTTTTTTTAAGTTCTAATAATTAATGTTTTGATGCAGATGCATATAAAATTTTGGCTTTCATCTATTCTATGTCCTATAGAATCAATTTAATCCAATTTAAATAATTAAGCGAAACTAAATCATCTTAGTAGAAATAGGTAGATTATATGTTAAAATTTTCCTTTTAAGAGTAAACAACATCACCTGCAAAGCGCTTGACACATATCGATGCAAGAGTATAACATGAAGGGGATCTGAAAGCAAGGATGGGCCTTTTTGAAATTCTCGGAAGGGTAGATCTATTGCTACTGCCCTGTTTTAAAGAAAAAGAAAGAGTTCAACATTTCACTGTTCTATACCAATGCTTCCACACTTCTCAACCCCGTCTATTCTTTGAAGAAAATAATTCGTTAAAGATGAAAATATTTAAGAGCTTTGGACTATACATTTATTATAATCGTTGTCAATTAAAATTAATTATGTACAGAACCAAACCGGTTTGTTATCCTATTACTCCATATTCCACTATCGACAGATTCGCTAACAGTAAATTAATTATTTCAATTCGTAATTACACAGCATATTCATGTATTTAAGAGCCTGTATGTTTATCTTCAGGATGCACTGACTGCTTTAAAAGGTGGCCGCATTCCTCCTCCTGGGACATTACCAACTTTTGAAGAGATAAAGGAAACAGTTGGGTTTAATGAGTATTACGAAGAGGAAGAACTGTATAAATCAGCTGGTGTCCATCCATCCTACCAAGGAGGTTAGCAGTAACCTTTCCTCTTCTTTCCTCCTCCACTTTGTGGCTCTTAAACAATACTTGTTTTCTCCTTTCGTTATTTTTAAGGCCAAAGAGCAGAGAGAATAAATGAACCTGTAGTTGAGGCACTCAGTCAATTGGATGGCGGAAGTAAGTCTGGTGATTCTAATGACCGCTCATCTGGTATATGGTCTCAGACTCTGAGATTAAAAGTCACAGGAAGCAATGGATTTGAGAAGCTTGACGTTCGTATTCCGGTTAGTCAATATTTCCTCGGGCATGTAAATGCATAAATTTCTAGGGCATTTACATACATAAAGCCCAATTCTTATGTTTTTACCCAACTGTAAAACTTTGTTTTTTAACATTCATACCACTTAAATCTTTCATCTCACATCAAAACTACCATTTTTTTAACTTTAAAAAAGTAAACCTTTTAGCGCATAAGGTAGCATACATGCAAATATTGAAGTTTAGGTGTTAAATATGTAAATTCATAAGAGTTGAGTGGTATTTATGTAAATCTTCCTGATTTTTTGTCTCTCGTCTGTTTAATGTTTCTTGTATTTATGCATTAGCCATCTATATGTGCACATACTTTTACATCTTTCATGCCTATAAATTATAATGTGAATTCAGAAATTATTCCATGCAGATAAAGAGAATGTGGTCGCATGTGTGGTGGTTTTTTTTAGAAGGAAGTGGAGAGTGAGTCTCGCATGGAGAGTTTTGTAGGTTTGTTATCCCCCCTTATCCCCCTCTCAAGCTCGTCATCCAATGGAGTGTTGGTGAGTTCATGTCGTAGGCGTTCGAATTGGGCAGCTATGGGATTCTTTGCAAAGATGTTAGTCACTTAATCGATTGAACTGATGTGGAAAATTTGAATGTCGCCCGATTGAATGTGGTCACGGATGAAGTGTTAGTCTATTTTGATATGTTTCGTATGGGAGTGCAAGGTGGGATTGAGAGCAATAGCAATTGTTGATGTGCTGTCACAGTGGATTGGTAGCAGAGATGTTGAATTCTTGAAGTAGTCTTCAAAGCCAGATGACATCGGCTGTGGCAGCAGCAACTGTGCGGTACTCTGCTTCTATGGAGGAGCGAGTTATCATTTTCTGCTTTTGAAATGTCCATGAGATAAGATTGGTGTCGAGAAAGGTGCAAAATCTGGTGCTTAATCGTCTGTTTTGTGAGTTATCGGCCTAGTCGGAGTCAGAGTAGGTGTGGAGTTATAGTGGGTTTTTGGTAATTGGAAGACTGAATGTAATGGTATCTTTGAGGTATGTAGGAGACGCTTGATGAGCTGGAAGTAGTAACTGAGGGGGTTATGCATATGCTGACAAATGTAGTTAACGACAAAGACTATGACTGGTCTTGTAATTTTAAGCAACTGAAGGGAGCCGACAAGTTATCTATATTGAGTGATGTTGGGAAACTCTTGAAAGTTTTTGTCGGGATTAATTTTTGGGGAAGGGGAGTGTGGACTGGTTTGTACATGCATAGGCCAAGTTAGTATAGGAGGGAATGAATGTATGAAGATTGGGTTAATTGGTAATGTTGTGATGTATTGTTTATGTGGATGCCAAGAAAGGTGTTTATCAATCTCGTTTCCTTGAGTTGGAATTCTGATTGGAGGGTGGGGTGAGGTGCATAAACGCTTGAGGGTCATTTCTCGTTATGAGGATGTCGTCTACATATACGAGGCAGTATATGGTAGTTTGATTGTGATGGTATATGAGGGAGGATAAGTTGTGCTTAGTCTAAACCCTTTGGTTTGTAGATGGTGAATGAGGGTGTGATACCATTGGTGTGGGGCCATTTTAAGGCCATAGAGAGTCTTTTTGAGTAAGCATACCTTGGTTGGATATTGAGTGCCTTGGAAAACTTGAGGTTGATGCATGTATATCATTCCTTCTAGTGAGCCATGAAGGTAGGCGTTGGAGACATCCAATTGCTGAATTTTTCACTTACGTTGGAGTGCGTTTGATAAGAGAATTCTAATTGCAGGTGGTTTGGCGATGGGGCTAAATGCTTTCGTGTATAGTGCGCTCTGAAGTTTCTTGAAGCCTTGTGTGACAAGTTGTGCTTTGTATTTGGCCACGGTTCTGGTAGGATTGTATTTGGTGCTATAGGTCCATTTGCAACCAGTAATATTTTGCTGAGGTTGTGGCTCAAATAAAATCCATGTTCCTTGCTTTTGTAGTGCTTCAAATTCAAACAACATAGCTTGGCGCCAATGTGAGAGATTTACGGCTTGTGTGCAACAAGTTGGATCAGTGGTTTGGTGTTACACCCTTACACGCGCTGGTCCACCCTGGACCGGCTAGAAGCAGTATAACCGGCCCATAGGCAGGCTGGTCTTGGCTACGGGAAGAAGTGGAGCGGACAGAGGAAACCACAGAAGAAGGAAAGGAAAGTGTGCGGTCCATTAGGGCCATAATCACCTTTGCAAGGAGGAGAAATTAAAGGAGTTTGGAGGGAAAGTTAGGAAAGAAAGTTTTTGTAATGCTATGAGCTGATTCTATTAGGGGGATAGCCTAGGGTTTGTTTTCTTTTGTGCATGCTTTGTTGTGGCTGCTGTTTTCTTTTTTCTTGTGGTGTTTCTAGCGACGTCTAGGATATGGGAGAGGCGATCTACCTCTTGAATAGTAGATCAACTTTGTATCATGCTTGTCTTCGTTGATCTTTTTTGAGAGCAACCCTCATTTTGTGTTTTTTTCACCCATCTTTTGTCGTTTTGTTGTGGTTTGTTGGTTGATTTTGGTTCTGAGACATATCAAATTACTATCAGGGCATAGATCTTGGTGAGATGACAACAAAGAAGTGGATGTGTTAGAAGGAAAAGTTGGGCAAATCAAATCAGGAACGAAGGAGAGATCCTCCAATATGGAGGATAGGTTTTTTTCTATTGAAAGTTGAATGGAGGATGAATTTGAAAGCATAGGAGAAATGTGGGAGATGATGAAAAAAACTCATGGAGATACAAGCCAAGGTCATGTCAATTGCTCCAGTTGCCAATTCTAACCAAGGATTGATTAGGGAATCCTTAGCTAGGTCAAGAGGGAAGCAAATTGAGCGAGAAGATAATGAAGAAGACTTCATTTATCTACAAGAGTGTCACCTAGGACTCCGAGAGGAGGGGAGTGGAGTCTTCCGATGAAGGGGGATGGGCCAAAAGTTGGAGGGATGTTGTAAGGGACGCGAAAAAACACGATGGAGGAATGAGGGATTTTGGATTGCGATATGCTTATGACCGAAGGAGGGAGTTCTACCTTAGATATATTGGGGGAAATACCGAAGGAAGAGGAGGTTGGGGCAAAAATATAAGGGTCAAAAAACTGAAGATGCCAATCTTCGAAGGAGAGGATGCACATGGATGGGTGTATCGGGTGAAGCGATACTTTGTGATCAACGGGTTGAGTGAGGATGATAAGCTTATGATAACGGGATTATGCTTGGAGGGGAAGGCTTTAGCGTGGTTCCAGTGGATTGAGACAAGATATCCGATACACTTATGGGAGAAGTTTAAGGATTGTTTATTGGAACGTTTTTGAGCCATTCGAGAAGGAGACTTACTCGAGCAATTCTATGCTCTAACATAAAAGGGGACAGTTATGGAGCACCTAGAGAAGTTTGAGCTCTTGTGAGGGAGGTTGAGGGGGATTTTTATAGCATGCTTGGAAGGGAACTTCTTGAAAGGTTTGAAGCCCGACATATAAGCGGCCATCCACCCCTTGAGGCAGTGAGGATTGAGGAAAATGATAGAGTTCGCCCAGATGATGGAGGACAAGAAACAGGTGAAGAAGACCAGTAAAGGCAACAACATCGGGGGATTCTACAAGAGCACTTTTATAGCCAAGACACCGATGACACATACGGTATATCATTTCAGAGACGGTGAAGGAGAAGAATACAGGACCCCCGCCTCGGGGGTAGTTTCAAGCGCCTCACAGATGCAAAATTGCAAGATAAAAGAGCAAAAAGATTATGTCATTGCTGTGATGAGAAATATGCCCTAGGATACCGTTGCAAGAAGCGCGCTCTTTAGATTTTGTTAGTTCAGGAGGGGGATACAAAGAGTGAGGGATCAGAAGAGGATGTAGTGGAGGAGGAGCATCTGCGTTTGGATGTGGTGGAGGTTTCCCTCAATTCAGTGGTGAGATTTACCCCAAATCACACCATGAAGGTGAGGGGATGCAACGGGGAATAATCAGTTGTAGTGTTGGTGGATAGTGGAGCCACACATAACTTAATCTCAAATCAGGTTGTGGAGAAGTTAGGGTTGAAGATGGTGACTACAGGGAGCTTCGACGTCATGGTGGGGACAAGGAAGGAGGAGAAAAGTTGGGGAATTTGCTAGTTCTAACACTATATGGTCTACAGGTGGCGGAAGACTTCCTTGCTTTAGATTTGTGCAGCACATACGTGATCTTGGGGATAAAATGGTTGTGAACGCTAGGTGAGATGAAGTTGGATTGGAAGTCCTTGACGATGGAGTTTCAAGTGGAGGGTAGGAAGCTGGTGCTGAGAGGAGATGTTAGCTTATGCAAAACCATGTCGTTACTCAAGACCACAGTCAAGCTGATTCAGGGAGTTGGACTAGGTTACTTGTTGGAGTTGCAAAGCTTTGAGGAGATTTGGGATTCAAAGTTGGCAGTTTTTGGAAGGGGTCCAACGGCTTGATTTTAGATTCATAATTGGCAGAATTTTCGGTAAGATCCAACAGCTTCTACAACAGTTTACAGATGTCTTCCAGCAGCCAAGCGGGTTATGTACTCCGAGAGCACGAGCATGCTATCACATTGAATGAGGGTATTTCTCCCTTCAGCGTCAGAACATACATGTACCCCTAGATTCAGAAGGATGAGATAGAGAAATTGATTCGAGAGATGCTCGAGCCTGGGATTATCGTGCCTAATGTGAGCCCTTTTTCCAATCTCTTTCTGTTGGTGAAGAAAAAAGATGACAGTTGGAGATTCTGTGAGGACAACCGGATTTGAGAAAGGAAACGGTGTTGGACAAGTTTCCTTTTCCTATGATTGATGAGTTACTGTGTGAGCTTTATGGGTAGTTATTTTCTCAAAAAAATGATCTTAAGTCAGGGGCACCACCAGATAAAGATATATCCAACAAATGTGCACAAGACAACATTCAGGACACATTCAGGACATTATGGTTTCTTAGTGATCTCGTTTGGCCTCAATAACACCCGACAACATTTCAATCCCTCATTAATAGGGTTTTTCAACCTTATCTT